TTGGAAGATTTAATATTGTTAAGATTATAGTATTCCCAAAGATTCAATGCAATCCCTCTTAAGGTGAGTGGTTAGGAGTGAAAGGAAATGGAGATAGGGTGTTATGAAATTGTGAAAGGCACTGTACGTCATATCAAGGAGTGTCTCCTTATACTATAAATATAAGGAGTCAATACATAACTTGAAGTAGGAGAGTAATATTATTAATCACTTTAAAAATAATAACTTTGAGAGCATTGTTGAGAGATGGTTTGGAGGCGGAGGTCATTATGAAGGTCTAGGAGAGAGGTGATGAAGGCCTGTATGTGGACTACGATCAAAGTCCAGATGTGAGACACATTAGTGAAGTAAAACTAAGCTGGGTGTGTGGCTCATGCCTGGGGTCCCAGCTCCTTGGGAGGCTGAGGCAGGAGGATCCCTCAAACTCAGGAGATCCAAGGTCAGCCTGGGCAACAAAGTAAGGCAACAAAATCCATGTTATCTTCTTCCTCATAGGGTCTACTACATGGCTCTATAAGGACCTAACAGATGCTACTGACAGATTTAATCTATTACAGAATTAAGGATTGACCCCTTATTAAAAAAAATTAACAGTACCTGGTCAACAAGGGAGCGTATATGGCAAAAGAAAGCAGCTGAGAATGTCTTCAGAATTGCTAGTTCAGAAAAAATAAGCGGATTAAATTCTGTTAAATGAACTGGGGAAGAAGACAGTGAGTTTAGGTTTGCTCTTGCTAAGTTGGAGGGCTTGCAGGATATTGAGATAGATTTGTCTGGAAGGTATTTTGAAATACAAGTCTGAAGTTTACGGTGCTTACTTGTTGACGTTATGTTTCAGGGTCTCTAGCTGCTGACGTTCAGGGGCTGTGATCATCTCCTCTATTTCTTGTAGCTGTGCCTCCTCTGCCCCTGTAGCCTGCATAGATGCAATAATGGCTTCTACCCTCTGAGACTTTTCTAGTAGACGCCTGTGAGACAAACGCAACTCTGAGGCATGTTCCCTAACCTGGGAGATCCTTAGCATTTATCTCTGAGGTACAATGCCCCCTTTTACCATATTCCTGGTCAAAGTGGATAATGTCACCTTCTAAGGATGTTACAAACTTCTTTGGAAATATAACTGCCATTCTGAAACTCTTACTGCCTCTTATTTGAAGTTTGGTGCTTTTGTACATTTCTCATAAATTTAATCTAAAAAGTTATTTCATTGAGGGTATGTTAGAAAAGTGTAGACTGCTGCATGATTTATGCTAATATAAGCCAATGATTCAACACAACTAGACTGGTTGTTATCTCTATAGGTTTCTTATTTCTATGGGAAATTTCCCTTCAGGCCTTTGACCTTGAAAAATGTCAATAACTGAAAATGCTACTCACTTGTTCTCTTTGGTTTCAAATTGCCTCCTTTCTATCAAGTTGGTTATGCTCTGAGGAAAGAGAATAATGACAACAAATGCACATAGCTCTATTCAAGTAGCTCAGGTAAAATGGGTAAAGGGGGCACAGCAAGGGGTGAGATTTGTGTGGGAGGGAATGGGGAGAAGGTCCAGACTGGGTTACCTTGTAGCATCTGTGCAACAACATTCGGGCAGCTGACAGGATGTTCACAGTATATAAATAGAAAGTCCTGGATGGAGCATGGTCTGGTGTTTTGGGAATTTCCTATTTGTCCATAGAAAGAAAAATAAGAGAAATTATACTGTTCTTCAGATCTGGCAAAGTAAACAGCCATTCCATCTGGAGCTACTCAGCCCTCTCTTTTACTTATACCTTCCTCTTCCTTAGTCATTCAGTATCTGTGTTTATGTCATAATCAGCCAAATGGAGAGTTTCGCTGCTCCGTTCTTTCCATTTTCTTCCAGGGAAGAAAGAGAAGGCAACTAACATTTACTAAGCTACTCTGTGTGCCAAGTAGATTGTATTTGATCTTTATGATAAACCATATTATTCTTATTATCACTATCTATCATTTTTTTTTTTTTTTTGAGACAGAGTCTCACTCTGTTGCCCCTGCTAGAGTGCCGTGATGTCATCCTAGCTCACAGCAACCTCAAACTCCTGGGCTCAAGTGATCCTCCTGCCTCAGCCTTCCGAGTAGCTGGGA